TAGCGTTATTTACATTTAAGATAATTCAATTCAACTTAAGTTATCAGTTTTTGTTTCTTAAAAAAATGACCTTCTCATTCTTGTTTATTTATATACTATGTTTTTACCGTAAGTTTTAAAAAAAATGGTAGCGAAACATAATATATTAAATATAACATCTTTGAGAGAATATACCTGCCAAGAACGATTAACACAAGAGAAGTCGTGCGTGACTATCTAATCCTTTCGATTATTACAGTGCCGATGAATTTGACAGTCGCTATAGATTTTCATAAGATATCTTTTTGATCACGGGCCAAGAATATACATATAAATCGCTACTTTTAAACACAGGTTACCATGAAGGGAGAATGTAATTAATGGCCATGAGTACCATACTAGTCTAGATACCTACACACGCTGTAATTTTTCCAACGTTTCAAAAAGCGCTAGAGTTGACGGATTTGCTGGCGTGAGATATTCGTTTTTCACTTGCGCTGGCTGTCTTTATGTGCGTAACTAGGCCTCTGTAACTCTTGCTACCTGCGTGAAATAATTACCTACAACCGCGAGCTGCCCCAGGGGTAGATCGCAGTCGGGGCTAGCGCGCTCTATACGATTGAATGTTAAAGTTAAGTTAGTGTAAGTGTTAAGTTTTGTTTAGTGTTTAGTACTCGTATATTTAATTGTAGGATAAAAGAGTTGAAAAATTACCTATCTATTTGGTAAATTATAATGGCAAAGCGTCGTTCTTATTATAATTGTTGCGGGGATGGATGCTTAAAGTGCAATTAAAAGGATTCAGATATATCATTTTTTGAGTTACCGAAGGATTATGAAAGGTAAATTTATTTTATTTTTTGTTAGATAGGTACTTATAGCGAAAAAATAATGAAGTAATAATTTAACTACAGAAGTAATACCTAAGTACTTTATTACAAAACTTTGTTGAAATTTTCTCACTACCCAAGATACATACCTATACTCGTCTTTGTAATTAAAATATTTTAAGTTATAATAGCACAAAATACTGAAATTAAAACTTGGTTTACAAGATTTTCAACTAAGTAGATTACGATCATATTTCTGTTAGGAATCGTATTTCAGGTTTATTTGTTGTTTACGCTATCTACCTATACGAACCAAGCATCGCCATTCCCGACGAATGGCCTTGCAAGTTGCATGGGCATCACAGAACTCACATAGTAGATAATATGGTCAATTATAGTCAGCATATGTACTTTACCTAAGTAACTTACCTTTTCACAATGTATTTTTTACTCTTTATTAACAGCCCTTGGCAACCACTGAAAGTCCGTTGTGACGTAATAAGGAGAAAAGATGTAAAGTAATACGGACACTCGCGCACAGCGATAAAGTTTTATTTAGCTTGCGTGCGCGATTTATCTGATTAATAATAACTATGTAGGCTATTAAAACGTCGGCAAGCAGTCAACATCGAAAGAGTGCAACTTCTGTACGTAGTACTATTATTTAATCTGTGGCGTAACGTAGGAATACCGGTTTAAATTTTGTTATGGAATAAGGTGACAAATACGCACACAGTCCACCTGATAGTAATTGGATGTTGTGAATCAAAATACGAAACTGAGAAGATACGACAAAGTGGTTCTTTTTAGCGGTAAACGCTTTACTTTAAGTCTTTCGTTACACCGTTTATTGTAATTTTGAATGTCACCCCTGGTTTACGTGGTAGAACCATGCTGCAGCTATATTACTGGTATAGTTGTAGCACAAATGGGTTGGCTCGACCGGGGAAGGACTACGCTCTCACAGAATACCTGCGTAAATAGCAGCTTAACCACTTGAGCCATTTATAAAACCACCAAATTAGTTAGATCTAGGTCAGGCCCAAGACAATTTTTTTTAAATGAAGGTAAATATAACTTAGAGTCATTACTAAGTTCTTATCCAAATATAAATAATAATATAATATTATTAGTGAAAAAAAAACACATGTTTATAACCTATAACAACAAAGTTATTTTTGCTTTGTCATCCAACAAGACCCGAGTCTGCGCAATAACAGCGACATCTATTTTCAATCATCAAAACCACTTGCTACGTTCAAAGATATCGATCGATTTTTCGATTAGTTAGTTATTGAGTTAGCGGAAATATGTATTAATTAGTACTGTGGAGTTTCCGTAGAGGGCGTTAACTGTACGGACGCTGCAGAACGGTTGTGTTGAGTTGTTGATACAGTTATATAAGGCACCAAAATGTCAGAAATAGAGAAACTACTAAAGGAATTGAGAGTTGACATAAAAAAAAGACTCAGCTAAACAGTGTTCTAATAATTCAATAAATAAAAATAAGATACACGGGATTACTTACCACTCATAATTATAGCTAAAAATTTTGTTTTGTTGAAAATTATAATGATGTTTATTGTTGACTTCGCCATGTTTGTGAGAGCGAGATAGATAATACAAACATGCGCGAGAGACACGATATGCGATTAACTAACGCGATTTCGAGCGAGCGAAAAAAAAACGTCGTAACGTTTCTAATCTCTGTCCTTGTCTATCGGTAAATTTAATTTTGTGATTATGATAACAGATGTGTGTGAACATTCCGTTTTCTTCACACTGCTTGTTTCGATGGCTATCTCTCTTTCTGCACGTGTTCAACTCTCGAAGTGGGCGGTTTTTTGTAAAAGTAAGCTCTATTACAATGCTTATAGATATGAAATATATATATCAATATATGTAGCCAGATTTTTGAATTTTGTTGACATTATTTTTTTAGTCTCCATTGAAATGCGCTTTGCATAGTTCAAGTTAATCGTATTTAGTAGTTTTCTAAATTGAGAGATTAACTTAAATATAATTATTCATAGTATTAAGTTCTAAGTGTTAATAGTGAATAGTATAAACAGGAATAGTGGTACTTAGGTATTTAAGTGGTCAAATAGTGTAAATATTAACTATGTTGGCGTCGGCCCGTAAAAACAGAATAGTAATTTGGCACCATTTTGAATAAGACAATAAAACTTTTAAGCAACGTGTAATGAATGTAAAGATATATTAAGTTATAAGTCGTCATATATTTTCCCGAAATATAAGAATTTCACCCAACCTAGGTGATATTATGCAAAAATACCGATACGAATACAAAAATAAACATAAATCAAAATATTTATCTTTGTACTGACTAATTTAGTTGCCATTAAACAAATACAGCAATTGTAAATGGAATATTTTCCTACAAATTATTGTGTGTATTTTATTTAATTCTCACCTAGAGATTTAGAGTGAATTCATGCTATACCAGAAAGTTGTTGAATTCCCACTAACCCTCTATAATATGGTTTTTAACGGGAGAGTAAATTAATTAGATTTTTGTGTTTGATTAATAAACACCGTTTCATAAATTCTTACCTATGTTTTATTGAGCTAAGACATGCCTTATAATTATCGCTTACCTAAAATTTACAAATAATTATATAATCAAATTAATAACTTAAGTATAATAACGCATAGGCGTCAATTTTACGCTTGACATAATGGGCATTAAGCGATACGCGCGCTCTATACCTTGCTTATTTGTACTCTAAGTTCTGAATACTCTTTATCTATTGTTCTAAGGGGTCCGTTAATTAAATTAAATTATTATATACTCTTTGGAGGGGTTCTTAGTAATAAATCCATTTGGATTTTTCGGGTTTTGAAGAGTTAATGCTGCTGTGTTTCGTATGTTGAGTGTAGAGAACCGAAGACCCTTTTTACTGGAAACGAGGCATTCCATTTTACTCCACATGAGTGACAACGCATCTGCATTTTGATTTGTAATCGAGGATAGATGTAGATATCTATGGGCCGCAGCAACCACTTACCATCAGGTGGACTGTGTGTCCGTTTGTCATCCTTATCCTATAAAAAATTCGCACAAAAGCTACACAAAAAGTATCCCTTGATAAAACGCCAGCAATTGGAAGTCAAAATCTACAGGAAGTTGAATTACATGAATCCGCCCTAACAAATAAAGAGGAATTTCATAGAGACCTGTCTAAAGCTGCATACTGCTACTGAATCGACAGATCAAGAAAATGACTTTACTACTACTGTGAGAGTTGAAATTGTTCTATTTGAAAATGGTGGGCAAGGACAACGAGTACTACTTATCGATAGCTTATGAACATTTAAAAACTATTTCGCCCACCAGTGTAAAGCCAGGGCGAATATTTTCTTCGTCTGAAATAGACAGCGCTCGTCTTTCAGTGATAAAAATTTGCATGCATTACATAATTTTTATGCGTTTTTTATTTTAGTAAAATTAAGAAGTAATGTTTAATAAAAACTTTTTTCATAAGTGAGCTGATTTATGTTTTGTTATAATAACAGTATCTATAAAGTATATCCTATGATAGAATATTGTAAAGTTATAATAGAATAAAATCTTTCTAAATTATTTTTATGTTGAATAATATTAAAATTTAAGTAATCTGAAATATCTGTTAACGTGCAATTGTAAAATGAATGTTCCTAGTTAGTGAGACGTTGAATTATATTTAATTAGATAGAAACTTTTGCAATTATTATTTGAATAATTACTTTAACCTACGATTTGCAATAAACTGTTTCCTTTATGAATATTATGATCGTTATTCACGTTGAACGAAATAGCCTCCAACTTAAAAGAAAGAAAAGTACCGAAAGAACCGGGTACCGGATTCCGGCAAAAGTTTAGAACCGAAAGAACAGGTTCTTGGAAAGGGACCGGTTCTCGATGCCCTAATTGATATAGTCTTAAATAAATAATTAATAATCATTAACCTGCCGATCAAGACTTGAATTTATTAAAGTAATGACTATTTAGAATATCAATACTATTATATTAAATAACCAATAGAACATCTGTGCAAAATCAATAAATTTAAATGAGTCGCGTTTTCGTTTCTATCCAAAAAGTAAGACATACATATTGAAATAAAACACAGAATTTTTACGTTTCAACATATATTTATAAATATTTAACACATATTTTTTAAACGCAATTTAAGCGTTTGCTTGAATCCAGGATGTGAAGCGAGAAACGCGAGCGTTGACACCAGGGTATCGGGCAAGAGCGCACTGTTCACCAAAAGAGCATACACCGACAACGACATTGTTGTGGATAAGAGGGCCACCGGAGTCACCCTGGCACTGGTCACGACCGCCGACATCGAGCCACCCAGAACACAACATGTTGTCTGTGATAGTCATGCCTACTTCAGCGTAGCGGCTTCTGCATGTAGCTTGGTTGACAGTCCAGATTTGAACATGGCGCAGTTGATCAGAAACAGACCCTCCAATCTGAAAATAGCCGAAATCTCTTTATTGCGCAACTATAATAACCGTGGCATCTGTTAAGCAAGTTTATCTTTTCACTTTTTAAGCACAGACTGTCAAGCGTAGAGCTGCTGAAATCCTCATACTTTTAATGGAGAATAAATGATTACAAATACATAGACACCAGCAACTCGAACGCCAGAGGGAACGCCGTCAATACGCACGATGGTTCAATAGCCTCTATCCGACAGTCATTGCCTCTTAAAGTCATCCCGAGAAGACTATGATTTTTCCTATTAGGTCTTCATTTTTATACGTGGGAGTTGGAGGAGGCCTGATATGCTCTCTGACAGCACCAGAGTGCAATTCGCAATTTGCTCTCTGTACATTTTTCCTAGTTTTAAAGGCAACATTAAATTATAATTAAAAAAACTGTTTACGGTCGGACTAAGTTCGTCCATTTTACTAAGTTAAAATACTTACATCTGTGTTAGTTATAAAATAAAACAATTTGAAAATGTCGATATTAAATGATTAGTCTTTGATCGGCTAATCGCTTCACGCGTCATTTAACGTGTAAACCGATGAAATGAGCAAAGCCTAAGCCTTAATAAATTACGATAACTAGTGTTTTAGGCATTTTTAAATATAACCGATTAAATTGGTTTTAAAATCTTACCTCAGTGGCTCCCCATCCAATAGCCCACACAGCTTGATTGTCAGCGAGGTTGTAGTTGGCACCAGCTATACCGGCAGCTCTTACACTGTTGCTGAAAGAGAACGTGGACGCAGCACGCAATACAGCGACATCGTTGTCAATTGTGACTCTATCGTAGTTAGGGTGTCTGATGATCTCAGCAGAATTGTAAACCGTACCACCGCTGCTGGTCCATGTGGAACCAAGACGCATACGCCATCTGCTAGGTGAGTTACCGCTGTAAAGAAAAGATTTACCATCGGTATTGTTTCTTTATGAAACTTGTATCTATATATATTTAGGATAATCTTCCGCTCACCAGATGTCGCCAAATGGTACTGAGGTAAAGTTATTTATCACACAGTATCATCCTTATTGATAAGTTACGTTTTAAAGAAAAAAAAAATTGGTACAGACCTATTGTATGTATATACACCAAACAATGCGGTGTACTAGTTAATTTATTTTTACACATTTTAACTGTTTTTAATTTTTATTTTTATAGGAATCTCCGTAATTCAGTTTATTAATTTTTAATCTAATTAATATAATATACTATAACTAAAATTTCAGAAAGAAACAGGACTAACTTCTAACTTTATTACAATTTAAATTTTCGGCCTTCATGGCCAGTCAAATAGTTCATCAATTTTTCCATTTCAAAGTGGCGTCGCCCTGATGACAGAAAACATTGTGAAAGACCTTAAAAATATACTTACCCGAAACAGTGAGACGCAGTGAGTACTGATCTGTTGTTAATGATGGTACCACCACAAGCGTGCCTGTAGGTAGATAAATTCCACGTGTACAACAAAGATGCAGCAAACGGATATTGCTCGATTGTTGTAACGGATCCACCGATGATCTTCTCTTCCTTCACGGGCACAGCTGAAACATAGTAAACATTAAATTTCAATGAGGGCTTTCTAAATTTTCTGCTCACCAGATGTCGCTAGTTAACACTGAGGTAAAGTTTATGTGTTTCTAGAGTATTATATTAATACATAAAACATTGCCTGCTCTTTAATTTTTTGCACATTATTTACTTTTTTTTAATTTTTCTACTTTTATGAATATCTGTGGTTTGATTTATTTATTTTTAATGTAATTAATATAAAATATAGCTAATAGTACAAAAAGAAACAATAACTTTTACATTTTACACAAATTAACTACCCCGCTATAAAATCTGTCAAATGTATTATACCTCACTTTCTACTGGCACCGCCCTGGTGGCAGAAAAAGTCGTAGTTGTCATTTACGTTAGACCGCCATAAATTGCCATTAATTTTAGAGTTTTCTAATATTCTATTATGATATAAATATATATAGTTTTAAATTTCCAATATTACGCGAATAATAACTAAATGTAATTATATCATGTTTTACCAATTCCCGTTGATTGTAGTTCTGGAGTACGAGTGAACGATAGCTTTTAACTATTTTACTTGACCAAAACGGTTAATTATTACGGAATCTCATAAGCGAAAAATACATCAACAATTAGATTATATAGTAATGCTAGCTTCTGTTGCAGCTTTGCTCGCGTGGAATTCGTTTTACCAAAATTAGACAAACAAAAACGGTGCCCTTATGAAATCACCTCGGTATCTATCTGTCACAAATGTTTTTCTCGGAGATTATTTCAATCGCATACACATCCATCTATCATCACACACATATATCTCACTGCCGCAGTCATCAAAATTAGTTTAGCGTAATCGTAGACAGAGAATTTTTTGGATTTTCTGTCTACGGGCGTAATTATAATAAGTTGCCTTAATATGGAAACTAAAAAAAAACTGTGTAAGATGTCAAATAAAACCTCTTTCAAACAACATTTCTGCCAAATATATACCTTAAATCATCATTTTGTGTTTAATTTTATTTCACATACTTCGGGAAAATGGTTTATAGTTCAGTCAGCCACAGTCAGCCGTAACAGTGCACAATGCTGAGAAATTATTAGGTCGTAGTCCATTCTTGCGTAGGAGTTCTTCTGAGGCAGTTACTACCCTGCCTATACTACCTATTTTGAGGGACTGAATTGAAGTGTATAGAGAGCCTAATTCTAAATCTAATTATAAGCTGTGAAGTAAATCATAGTCATGGGGATGACCTTGAAGCAGAGATGACAACGCATCTGAAGCCTTCTGTTTTAAAGTTGGTAGTCACTTACTATCAAGTGGACTATTAGTTCTTTGTCACTTCAGTTTTATAAAAAAAACGTATGTACATGATGTGTGGCCAGCGTATTAAAAAGATCAAAGAAGCCGCATGGCTTTTGTTCGACAGTATACCATCTAGTGAATAGTAAAAATAAAAGAACTGATACCAATCAGCTTACAAAGCGTGACGATAGTGGATTTGATGGTTCCGTGGCGCAGTGGCTTAGCAATGAACTGCAGCGCTGAAGGCCGTGGGTTCGAATCCCGCACAGAAGAAGCATTTGTATGGCTTATAATAAATTTTTCCGGGTCTGGATGTTTGCCCTTGTGAAATGTATGTATGTAAACTGTCTTCACGATACAGGAGAAATTCCTAGTGTGGAGGTTACTTTTTTTGTTAACATAAAATATATAATATTATTTTAGCGGCAAATCCTTTAAACAATGGGACAGGCCCATGTCAAGCAATGGGAGAACTTGGTCCACAATTTACAAAAATTATATTTACAAATATATATTACAAATGTTTCACATTCAGTAAAGTTATTATTAGTTCCTGAAAAAATATATTTAAATTCACATTAAATTATTGAAAATCTTATTATTAAAACATTTCTACTAACATTGAATCCTTAGTAAAACTGGGGCAAACTTAATTAAAAAAAATATATAAAAATTTTATGCCACTTACCTAAGACAGCTGCGAGGCATAAAGCCAAGAGAACTATGGATAGGGAACGCATTTTGTCTTCGTCCGTCGCTACTGCATTGCTCTTAAAAAACGCCAATATATACCGCTAATAATTAATCCCAAAACTGATAAATATCTTCCGATAATTCTAATTTTTACGTCATAAATAAATGACACGTTATATACCTATAATTATTTCTATAAAAGTAACACATTGATTTTATTCTGTAATTATTTTCCAACTACAATATTTCATTACACTCTTGAATTCAAATAAATTGTGCGCATAGATTATATATTATTAAAATAGTGCTAAATAATATTTATTTATATTAGAAAGATAATTATAGAAAGATATAAAAGAGAACAATGTTGAAGTTCTTGAGATTTAAATCAAAATTAAAGTAAATGATTTCCTGATCTGTCTCCCATATTTCCCATTTTTTTTTTATAGGAGAGGGGGCAAACGAGCATGCGGCTCACCTGATGGTAAGTGACTACCGCTGCCCATGAACAACCGCAACACCAGGGGGCCGATCGGAAAGGGCTCGGTCGTCGACGATTCGCGCAGCTCTGCGTTGGATGCGGTCAAGTGGAAGGAGCTGGCACTGGGGAGCCCCTGCCCAGAGATGGGAACAGTATTCCATGTGAGGCCGAACTTGCGCCTTGTAAAGCTGCAGGCGGTGTGCCGGCATGAAATACTGTCCCGCTCTGCTGAGCACGCCAAGCTTTTTAGAGGCCAATTTGGCCTTCTCTTCCAAGTGACCACGAAACTGCACGCTACTCGATATGTCGACGCCGAGGATTCCGATACTGGCTGAGGCAACAAGGGGAGTACCTTGAAACTGAGGAGATACGACAAAGGGGTTCTTTTTAGCGGTAAACGCGCAAACTTGTGTCTTCTGAGGATTAAACTGGACTAGATTTAGTCGCCCCCAATCCGAGACTTTGTCCAGCAAAGACTCGTCTTCAGACACAAGTTTGTTCCGGTACTCGGTGACGTTTTCCCGAGAAATATTGGCACGGCCGGTGTATAGAGCATCACCAGTGCTGTCATCTGCATAGCAATGAATGCTACCAGCTTGCAACATATCATTGATATGCAGAAGAAACAGCGTTGGTGATAGCACGCAGCCTTGTGGAACACCAGCATTAATAGGCTTGTAGTCGGAGCATGCACCATCTACAATGACCTTGATGCTCCGATCTGCAAGAAAGCTGGTGATCCAATTGCATAATTTCTCGGGAAGCCCATAGGAAGGGAGCTTCGAAAGAAGCGCTTTGTGCCAAACCCGATCGAAGGCCTTCGCAATGTCCAAACTAACGGCCAATGCCTCCCCCTTGGACTCTACTGCCAACGCCCATCTATGAGTTAAGTAGACCAGAAGATCACCAGCTGATCGACCCCGACGAAAACCGTACTGGCGGTCACTAATCAGCTGGTGATCCTCAAGGTACCGCATGAGGTGGCAGTTTACAACGGATTCCATTATTTTGGAGAACAAGGGGGTGATGGCGATAGGCCTGTAGTTGGACGGATCTGAGCGGTCGCCTTTTTTAGGGATCGGGTGGACAAAAGCTGTCTTCCATGATTTCGGGACTACGCCTAGGGAGTAAGAGTACCGGAAAAGACGCGTTAGAACCGGTGCCAACTCCGGAGCACACGTCCTCAGCACAATTGGGGGGATTCCGTCAGGCCCACTCGACTTGTGGATGTCAAGGGAGAGGAGTGCTCTGCGAACCGAGCGCTGTGAGAATCGCACATCCGGCATGGAGCACTCACACCGCGGGATGGTCGGCGGTGTGTTCCCCCCGTCATTAACAGTCGAGTTGGACGCAAAAAGGGAGCCTAAAAGGTCGGCCTTCTCTTTTGCGTCGTGGGCCAGTGAGTCGTCCTCCCTGTGCAGAGATGGTAGTGATGGCTTACAGAAATTCCCTTGGACAGCCTTGGCGAGAGACCAGAATGCACGGGTTCCCGAAGGAAGGCGAACTAGTTTCTCGCCAATTCTGCCTATGTGCTCTGACTTTGCCTTGGCAATAACTCTTTTGAAGGACCTGGAGGCGAAGTTATACTTCTTTTTGAGTGTGCTGGTGTTTACATCCCGAGTCACCGAAGCCGCAGCCCAGGCTTGATAACACTCCTGCTTACTGCGTAATGCAGTCTTACAGGAGCGACCAAACCAAGGCTCAGATCTGCCTCCGATGGGTACCACAGATGATGGAATAAATAGTTCCATTCCCTGTAGCACTACATCAGTGACAGAGTCAGCAACAGCGCTGGGATCATCCGGCGAGAAGCAAACCCGCCCCCATGGGTAGGAAGCAAAGAAAGACCGCATTCCGTCCCAATCCGCCGACCTGTAATGCCAAACACGGCGGCAACCTGCAGAACGCAACCGCGAGGGGAGCGTGAGTGGCACCACACTCCGGATCAGACAATGGTCCGAAGAGCCAAGAGGGGCATCGACGGAAACCTGATATCCGTCCGGATGAGAGGTCAGCAGAAGGTCCAACAGGGAAGGTGTATGATCCTCAACATCTGGAATCCGCGTAGGCGATGTAACCAGTTGTGTCAGACCATATGCCAAGGCAAAGTCATAAACAGATCTCCCCGCATGATCGGTTAAACGTGAACCGAGCCATTCGGCGTGGTGGGCGTTAAAATCGCCAAGGATCACGATCTCTGCGGATGGGACCTGTTGTAGCAAGGAATCTGTAGCCATTTGGACGTGGTCGATGAGTCGGTCTGTTTCGGCATTACCGCTATGGGACCTATAGAGGCACACGTAGACGCGCGGATGGTCGTCGCTGTCTACGCGTAGCCAAAGGATGGACAGGTCCGAACCTTCAAGACTGCCGAGGTGTCGAGAACAGATGTCCTCTCTGACATACACGCAAACTCCAGCCCGAGGCACAAAGGAGTGCTCCAATTTGTACCCCGGGTAGGAGAGATACGAAGTATCAGCCGGAGAGGACACCTGCGTCTCGGTCAGAAAGAGCAAGGCCGGCTTCGCCGTCTCAAGATGGTAGTGGACGGCGTTTAGGTTCGAGTGAAGTCCCCTGATGTTGCAGAAATTCACGGATAGCGTGGCAGGGGTCGCCTTGGTCTTGTTGCTCAGTTTGCCCCGAGCAGTTATTGTGTTGAGCGGAATTTTGCCCCCCCAGAATACGCGGGGCAGCCTGAGCACCCACGCTCAGGAGTGGAATAGCATGGTCGTGGATGCTCAGCGAGGGATTCTCCAGGGGTACTGGTACCCTCCTGGGGTAGTTTTTGACGTAATTCCGCTACCATGTTGATGGGGGGGGAAGGGAATTGGGCATCCGGTCACCTGCACTCACCAGACGAAACGCGGAAGCAGAGCTTCCACTTCACGCCGGTATTCTGTGAGGTCGTGGTACTAACCCGGCTCGAGCCGGCCCATACGTGCAACAGCAAAAGCTGCTGCAAGGCTCTACAAAAAAAAAAAAGTTTCAAAAAATAATGTGAATAATACTTACTTAGATTAATATTTATTACAATTGATTATTTTACAATAATATTACTATTCTTTTGTATTGTAATTTAAAAGTATATTTTAACGAGTATAAACAAAAACGTGGAATATAAAAGCGGCATATAAAATCGCATATACTATTGATGAACATACGCTCTCACATTTTTAAAAGTAAGAACAGGCTAGAAACTTTATTTTTTAAAAGCAATTATGTAATTTTTATTAAATTCACAGATATAATGGATAGTAAGATGTAAAAAGTGGTAACAATATCCTCTGGAAATCCTTTTTTTATAAGAGAATAAATAAATAATATATAAAAAATTAATATTAATAGATAGAAATTTGAATTTCAACATTCCTCCAGCTTCGTCTGGGTAGTATCTATTAATGTAGCGTTATTTACATTTAAGATAATTCAATTCAACTTAAGTTATCAGTTTTTGTTTCTTAAAAAAATGACCTTCTCATTCTTGTTTATTTATATACTATGTTTTTACCGTAAGTTTTAAAAAAAATGGTAGCGAAACATAATATATTAAATATAACATCTTTGAGAGAATATACCTGCCAAGAACGATTAACACAAGAGAAGTCGTGCGTGACTATCTAATCCTTTCGATTATTACAGTGCCGATGAATTTGACAGTCGCTATAGATTTTCATAAGATATCTTTTTGATCACGGGCCAAGAATATACATATAAATCGCTACTTTTAAACACAGGTTACCATGAAGGGAGAATGTAATTAATGGCCATGAGTACCATACTAGTCTAGATACCTACACACGCTGTAATTTTTCCAACGTTTCAAAAAGCGCTAGAGTTGACGGATTTGCTGGCGTGAGATATTCGTTTTTCACTTGCGCTGGCTGTCTTTATGTGCGTAACTAGGCCTCTGTAACTCTTGCTACCTGCGTGAAATAATTACCTACAACCGCGAGCTGCCCCAGGGGTAGATCGCAGTCGGGGCTAGCGCGCTCTATACGATTGAATGTTAAAGTTAAGTTAGTGTAAGTGTTAAGTTTTGTTTAGTGTTTAGTACTCGTATATTTAATTGTAGGATAAAAGAGTTGAAAAATTACCTATCTATTTGGTAAATTATAATGGCAAAGCGTCGTTCTTATTATAATTGTTGCGGGGATGGATGCTTAAAGTGCAATTAAAAGGATTCAGATATATCATTTTTTGAGTTACCGAAGGATTATGAAAGGTAAATTTATTTTATTTTTTGTTAGATAGGTACTTATAGCGAAAAAATAATGAAGTAATAATTTAACTACAGAAGTAATACCTAAGTACTTTATTACAAAACTTTGTTGAAATTTTCTCACTACCCAAGATACATACCTATACTCGTCTTTGTAATTAAAATATTTTAAGTTATAATAGCACAAAATACTGAAATTAAAACTTGGTTTACAAGATTTTCAACTAAGTAGATTACGATCATATTTCTGTTAGGAATCGTATTTCAGGTTTATTTGTTGTTTACGCTATCTACCTATACGAACCAAGCATCGCCATTCCCGACGAATGGCCTTGCAAGTTGCATGGGCATCACAGAACTCACATAGTAGATAATATGGTCAATTATAGTCA